GACAAAAATAACATTTGTGATTACTTACTGTAATAGCATTAGGATAAAATGGAAAAACTACCAAGAGCAGACAGGAGGTGTCGCAAAGGTTCAAAAGGAAAAAAAGTCTACCACAACAGATTAGTAGAGAAATTTTTTTTTTTTTTTAAACTGATAGCGTTTTCTCTAAACAGCATGCACATAAGGCTTATTCAAAGTATGCCACAATATATGGGCTAGCTCAGGTAACAGTACAGCACAATACCGGGCAAGGTAAGACATATTCTTAGCATGCGAGAGAGACATAGCTTCTGTTTCATGAAGAACTGAAAATCAGTCTGTAAATTATAAAGACATTTCATATAATATTTTTCAATCTATATGCAAACTGCATTATATATCATGGTATGATATAAAAGCTTTTAATTATTTATAAGAAGTGCATAAACTACTTCATGAGTAGCTCTTCAGCTCTTTCACAGTGAAAGCTTTGCATCATATAATCTGACATATTCTGTCTGCGTATCTGAGACTACATATACAGATACTTTCTCATCTATAGATTATACAGATTAGAGCTCCAAGATGGACAGCACAAACTACAATATGACTTAAAGCAGTATTGCTGCTTTCAGATAATCACTGTAATCCAGCACAGGTTTGAGATAAGCCTTTGGGATATGCCAAAGTACACTCGGCATATTTTTCATTTTTGTAAGATCCAGGATTTAATTTGGGTATTTATGAATTTCTGATAAAGGACTTTCTAGCAATGTTTTCCTCACTGCTGACTGGAAAACAGACTAACATAAGTTGCAGGATTTTCTTGGTTCCTCGTACAGATCCAAAAAGCAGCTGACAGCCAAATAGAGTTCAAAACCTTTAAGAGTAAACAGCAAGCAAGTTCCTCCTAGATCTTTAAGACTGCTTATTTAAGAGATACTGCACCTGAATATTGGGGCGAAGACTGGAACTGGTGCACAGCAGAAGGCTCACTGGGCAGCCTAACTGCCTGATAATCTTTCCTGCATCCTGCCAACATATTGCACCCAAATATACATTGGAATTTCCATCTGAGCAGTTGAGGAGGGATACCTCACTTCCCCAAACTGACTAAAGTCTCTTGCACTTAAATACAAATATTGGGAACTATGTGACAGCTATCTTATATATCTTATATAGATATATAACTATGTGACAGCTATCTTACATATCTTATATAGATATATAACTATGTGACAGCTATCTTATATATCTTATATATAGAAAATTGACTAATAAAGCTGGAAAAATTGAAAGAAAAAATCCTCAGGCCTTACATGATTTGTATCTGAATTTTTAAATGTGTGCAGAAAATGTCTTCAGTTCCACAGAAATATGAAATTAAACTCTCATAATAAAAATGTAAGCCTACTTCTAAAAAGATTTAAAATTAAAAATTGTAATCCTCACAACAGTAGTAAAGACGGGGTAACTAAGTATAAGACAGCATAAAGTTGACACAACTTTATTTCAGTAACAACTTCTTCCCCAACCTGAGGCACTGGCTTTTCAGTAACAGGACTGTTTTTGCCCTCTGCCCGTTGTCACTTAGCAAACACATGATCCAAAAAATACAAGTTGTTCATGTTGCTGTTAATACCTTCAAAACAAAACGAGCATCACAGGCCTAAGGACTTCTACATTGGTCTCAATACCACAAATCATAGCAGCACGGACATATTTGAGAAGAAACGTTCCCCGCAGCTTGCTATGTGACAATAGCACTAGATGAAGTCGAGATCAGACAAGATCTTGTAAACTAAATGGAGACTGTATTTGAATCAATGATTTTATTTAAAACAAGTAATTAAGTGGCCTCCATGACCCTGGAGAAACCTATGATGTGCTTTAATACATCTCAGTCTGGCTAGAGCCAACTAAAAAGCTTAAGGTTATCAAGGAACATGGGAGACCTCCAAGAAATTCCAGCATATTTGGGGGGAAAAAAAAAAAAAGTACTGGAAAAATCTGTCAAGGACTTGCTTCCTATCCCCTCTTCCCATTAAATTTTGGTAAGAGTTCAAATAGATTAACTTTGTGTAGGGAGGCAAATTTCTCAGGGAGGTTCCTAGGCGATGCCTCCTCCATAGAGTAAAAAACATCGATGCAGGACTAACTGTTTTTTCAGTGTGCATGTGCACAAACACACATGCCCATAGCCCACCCTGTGCACTGGTGTCCTAACGGTTCCAAGTTGCATCCAATTAAAGAGCTGGGCTAAACTTTGGATGTCCATTGACTACTTTTTGCTCCGCTTTGCTCGATTCCTTGCCTCTATGGAATGTGTATGTTTTCAAAAAAAATTTTTTTGTTTATAGTTGCATTATGTTTATATTTCTGAAGTCTCATAGACTCCACAGTAATACCCTTCCCACAGTAAAGTAACATTGCTCTAGAGGATTACTCAAAATGCAGCTGAATCACCAGGAACTAGCTGCTCCCTGGAGGGAAAAAAAATCCGTTTTCTGTTAATTATAGGAGAGTCTGCACAGAAATCAGTTAAACACTGCTAACACTGGTCACCTCCTCCTGGTGACCTTTGCTAAAGATGTCTGGCCATGGAAAATTATTTTTATTTCATACCTGGAATCCCCCCACCCCTTGCCCCACAAACCAAAAATCAACAACAAAAAGACCCCCAAAAGTTCAATATTTGAAATTTTCTCAAATTCTCTAAAACTATCGATGCACTTTATGTGTGCCTGTGACTTCAGATATGCTTTGCTTCTACCAGTCAATCCTAACTTCTTCTCCTCCCACGCTCATTTCATTTATCTGTGAAGAACAGTTCATTATTTTCTCCTTTTTTTTTGTTTGTTTCTTTTTTCTTTTTTTTTTTTCTTTTTTTTTTTTTTAAGAAATAACTCCTGGCGCTTCAACCTTGTTAGTCCTGTAATTTTCATCTCCAAGGATTTACACTTCAAATGTCAATACATTTATCTTCTCCTCAGGATATTAAGCATGGAAATATCTTATTCTTAAGATTCTATTTGAACACCGGCATGACTGAAGTTGTTTGCTTTGCTGATTGTGTGGGATGCATCCTTGTATACAGACGATCCAAGCTAAATAAAAGCGAGTATAGGAATAGCTGCACCTACAGAGAGAAAAAAACCAAAAACTCTCTCTGCTAGGTTTCAAACTGATCTTCCACAGGGTAACAGTATGGTCCATCTCAGAACTAAACCAATTATTCTCTCATACTTCCTCTTGACATATTATCTCCCACAGAAATAGGATTTTCCCATGAGAAATAATTTCTAGGGTAGACTTAATCCTATTTTTGAAAAAAGAACTATTCCACAAGTTTACTGAGGCATGTAAGCTGTTCTCCTCAGAGTTGAAAATCAGCTGTTCAATCAACACGATACTTTTTTCAGTGGCGTATGTTGAGCTGCCAGTAAACTGAGTCAGATTTACTCACACCATATGCTCCTATAGGCTCTTAGTCCTGTTGCATCCAGTAACAGAGAGGCAAAAGACTCCTTTTAACCATTTCAGTGAGTTTGGGCTGAGTATGTTTATTACGGAAGAATATATTGAACCACAACAGATGATCCTCTATACACTTAGCTGACCTTTCCATTTGCTTGTGTGTCTTTGATAATTAAGTGTATCCTTCAGCACTATGCAAACTTTACCTATCACTGAAGAACTACAGCACTTTTTGACTCTTCACATGATGAGTTGCTTAGTATTCATTAACAGGGAGGGGAAAAACTCAAACAGCATCATCATACAAGCAGTAAGAGAGTTATGGCAATGACAGTGTTCAAAAAGACACAAAAAAATTGAAATGTTAGGATGTATATAAAAATAGGAGCCAGTTCAAGTGGAAACTGTTTTAAGATGACTAGTTTATGCAATGAGAACTTTTCAGCCTTAAGTAGGTTCCCAACTGAAACCTTCTGCAAATTCCTAATAGAATTAGTTTTTCTGGAAATAGAGTAGTAGTGTAAAAGAGTCCCTTAATTAAAAGTTATAACTCCTTAAGACAAATCCTTCCTCAATATCAAATTGGTCAAATTTGATTGGTTGATAGTGCCCTTCATATAGACATATGTACTTGAAAAGATTTAAGCATAGTAACACATAAATCACAAACCTAGAACACACACCTAAGGAAATCCTTCCCTTTTTTTCACTGTACTATGTGGATTTAAATATTGTGTGCAAACCTCAATTTATCTACAGTTGTTGTTGTTGCTAACTCTGTGGCTAGTCACTGAGCTCATTAGACTGAAGAGTTTCATAGAGCATCTAAAATTAGCAACCACTTAATTTAAACACTAGAAATTAACAGAAGAGAATAATTCCGTTTTGCAAAGGTAACACCAATCCAAGAAAAAAAGAAATTCATTTCAGAGTCATTGTTCTCACTTTTGTGTCCACAGAAGACAAGATAACCGATCTCGATATTATTTCCTGTTGCCATTTATCTGCAATCTGAATATACAGTACTCATGCTTAATGAATTAATTAATGCAGGGCAAGTCTATACTTGGTTACACCTGTTAAGTCCTCTCATTGTAAAAGTGCATCTACATTATTCAGCCATTAAATTTAGATTAACCATTATTGTAGTAAAAAAGTCAGTATTTTCACAAGAGTAATGCAACATTTTCAGTATTTAAGGCAGTAAAAAGTAAATACTAAAATATATCTAACAGTTCATTCAAATATATGTTTTCTAAAACCACATTCTCAAATAGATCAAGATTGTATCCTTATTAATACATTTATGCTAGCAAAGGATTAGATATCCTGATTACTCCAGCAAGATGAACATTATACAAAAAAACACAACAGTATTGTTTTCTGTACAGTGATCCTTCAAGAATCAGCAGATTTGTGGCACCTTCTCCTTCAGCTTCCTGATAAGATCAATTTCCTTCACAATGAGAAGCAAGTATAAATTTCAAGAAAGCCACATTCAGTGAAATTAGACATCTGTGTTTTTCTTTCATTCTTATACATACCTGATAGGGATGATATAGGAAAACAGGAGGAGGAACCGGAAAAGGTTGCGATACCAGGGGCCTACAAATCCTTGCAAGGTTACCATAACAATTGATAGTGCAACTAAAGCCAAAAATAGGGCTTTGGTCAGTTGATTCAGTTCCAGATCCAGCAAGCCAACCTAAAGGAAGCAGTATAAATCAAGTTAGTCTTGAGTTTCTCTTAAATTGACACTTCTGCAGTGCAAACAATTAGCTATTATTGGCTTTTTTATTCCTATTAAAAATCTATGCATTTGCAACATTTACCTGCATTTTGATAAATGAATTGATTATTGTTCCTATGCTGGCACGTGATAAATGTTTCCTGGTTATAGGGCAATAACAATTCCCAGAATCACAGGGGGAACTGTCCCAGTTGGGCCTTTTGAATGCCTTTACATTTAACATGTCCCTTCCCCCATCCCCTGACCGAGAATGGGGACACAGGAGGAAGGGAGCAAAGACGGCTAAAGAAAAGCAAATGAGCAAGAACAACTTCTGTCTGTCACGGATGCAGTAAAAATACTGCTAATGCATATTATATTTGTAGGGTGGCTACTGCTCATTTACTGCTGTAAGATCAAAAATATTTTAGAATCAAGAACCAATAGAAAAACGCAACAGCTACCTTCTTACTCACGTAAGTAGTATCCTGTAATTTGTAACTACACTACTCCCACACCAGTCTGTAAATCTGTATTCACACTGTAGAGACCTTTTTGAATTATATGAAACTTTCAATTATTCAAAACAAGAAAACCTCAAGTGGAATATTCATTTTCAAACCAAAACAGTAGAACAGAGCTTCAGCTATTCATGAGTAAAAAGGTACCTGATGTAGAAACATTTTAGCAAAAACATTAGGAGATGCTATCTTTCATCCACTCTTTCTCATGAAAAAATATTTTAAAGCTATGTAACTAAGACTCTCACCATTTCAATAACGTATGCTGTATGCTAAGTATTTATATTCCACTTTTTGGGATGACCCTATAGTCAGTCAAGTATGTGGGAAAATTATGTCAGCAAGACTTTCTTCGACCCCTTCACAGACGCCCTTTTATCTCTAAGTCTTTCCAGTAAGACCAGTAAAACATAACACTTCCTTAGATAACAAGCAATCTGAAAAAGAACCACTTAAATACAGTTCTTAAAAATTCCAGCAATCTTGCTTACACATGGGCTGTCCCTTCCCTAGAGAACTAGGCAGCTGAAGACCACAGCGACTGATTTATCAGCTGCATTTAAAAAGCAGCACAACGAGGACAAATATCTTGCAATTTCCGCTGCTTCAACTACTACATAGTTTATGCTTGAATTATTGAGAAAAATAGGTTTTTGGATTAAAATGAAGAAAAATTAAGCCAGGGAAGTAGAGCATGTTTCAAAGCCCAGATCTTTTTGCGTTGACAAAGGCAGCCTAAGTTTCAGGCCTCGCTGAGGATCAGATGAAGTCATTATTCATTCAGTCAGGGAAAAAAGACTCAATTACCTCAACCTAAAGATGCTATCAATGAATGCAAAGTGCATATTTTACTCTATTCATCCAAATCCCATTAAAAAGTGAAAGGAATGATTTAATCTGGCCTTCTAGAGTTGGTCTTTTTTTGTAATAAAATAAAGAATCACTGTCTTGCAATATGCATAACCACTACCTCACACTTGTTTTTCCTGCATCACAGTAGTGAAAGTCTATCTCTCCCAACCCTCCCCCCAGGAAAAACCCCACCCCATAATAGAAACGAATAAAGAGCTTCTTTTGAAAGAATGCCACTTTTTGGACAGAAACATTAAATGTAGTCCACTGCACACTGATACGTAGCTAATTCAAAGCATTAATACCTTTCTAATTGATGAAGATAGATGTGAATTTAAGTTTGGAATCCAACAAAAATGTTTTTGGAGTGATATTAAAATAATAAAAGCCTAATGAACATATATATAATATAATTTTTTACATAGTAAATGTCTCTTGCTCAAGAGCACTGTTTTTTTTTTTTTTACTAACGTTACCCGTGCTCAAGAGCACTGTTTTTTTTTTTTTACTAACGTTACCCGTTTAAAAATGTATTATACTATTACTACACTATATATTAATAAATGAAAATATTAAAACAGTAATACAGTAAGTGAATTGCAAAAAACTATTTAAAAAGGCAGACAAAGAAAACAGGCTTTAATAAAAATGCATTCTCAAATTTCTCAAAAGTTATTTACTATAATGTAACTGAAATATACTTAAGTAGTTCTTGTCACGTTCCTCACCACGTAAAACAACTTCTGTACTTGAACGATGGAACACATTATCAGTTTATCTAAGTTAAAAATTTTCTGTCAGATACTTCATACAGAAACTCATTAATTCTTTCTAACTAGTCTATCTGAATATTGGAAGAGTAGGTAAACTTATATTTTAACTATACTGTGATTTTATCAAAATGCTTGTAAAGCATACCATGTTAAGATTTTTTCCTACCTACAATAAGCTGTTCATAATAGAATAGGTAAATATGACAATATAAGAAATAGGTGATTTACGAATTAAAGTAATTTTTAATGTTTGTTACCATTTCTCACACTTGTAAAGCAAATTTTCTTCTACTTGTCATAATATTTGTTCTATTTGAAACAACTGTGCTAACAAAATTAAATACCCCATTGGAAATTTTAATCTCCAAGGGAAAATTTGTACATAATGTCTAAGACAACCACAATGGTTTTGCAAAGGGGCTGCTCTAGGATAATGAACACAATAATTGCCTGTATAATCTAAAATGCTACTAATGGCAACAACTGCAAATCCATTTAGCTCCTCTTTAATTTATGTACGAAGTTTTAAATAGCTAATGGTTCTCGGTAAAATAATGGCTTATATCAACAATAAAAAGTATGACATTGTCTACTTAAAAAAACCCACCAGTTTTTAAAATAAATTCTTTATTTTTGAATGAGTGAGTGATTACAGGTCTCATCTTCACATTTTGGACTACAAGGCATAAGTCATTATCTTATGAGAAAAATTTTAATTATAATTAGCAGAGGTTGAAAACAAGAAAAAACCTTCTGATTACTGAAGTAAAACATGAACAACAATATTGCTATCACTGCCCTATATGCTTGGCTTTTGGGAAGCTACTGTAGTCATAGAAGAATTTTTGTAGCGTTATAAAAAGTGTATTACTTGGAAAACTAGAAATAATTTCTTTATCCTAGAATATTAATGTGCAAAATTTAAAGATTATTACTGCTCAGTGGTAAAGGTTTCTCAAAATAGTTTAGCCCAGTCTTTTTAGATTGATTCAATTACAGTTTAAAGCCCATTTGAAGTAACTGCTCATTTATACTTTTTTTTTAACTTTTTTTTTTTTAAGCACCCTGCTTCAATATTATCAAGGGATTAAAGCAGTATCTTAGGGAGTCGTCATCAACCTCCCTCTCCTCCCCCTCCCAGCTCTTCTAGCAAGGTAATTATATTTCAGTAATCAGCCTGGTTCTGCACTGACAAACACCATATTGACTACAATGAAATTTCATGGTATATATATTTGAGATAGACTTTAGTTTTAATTTGCACTATAAAAATTGAAGTTTTCTTTACTACTATTCTTAACACATGCTCTGAACTGGACTTTTTTACATCTTGAATACCAGTCAATTATCCACGTTTTCATTAAATACAAACTTTATTTTTAGTCTGAAGTAGCTAGAATCCCAAAAGTTAGATTGAACAGCCATACAGGCAGTAGGGCAAGTAAGGATTTAAAGTTACAAAAAATGCAAATCTTTTTTTGGTTAGCCCAAAATTAAAAAAAAAAAAAAGTGTTTGCCTAGCAAAAACAGTTGATTCATGGCAGTTCATCTTTTATAAAGAAAATGAATGTGCATATAGCCCAATGCACATATGCAATTAGCTGCATGTATCTGAAGGTCTGTGGCTTATTTCAATAATCTTTTAAACCTTACAGTCCCTAGGAATAACCTATGTTTAAAGGCTAAAGAAAAGGACACACCATCATTTGGAAAACCTGTTCACTGTAATCTGTGACACTAAAAACAAGTACAGCAATTCTGAAAGCTGTAAATGCGCCTTCCTTGTTAATTCTTCTAACAGTACTACTATGATTCAAATCATTGCCTGTCCAGCCAACTAGGTAGCTACTTTTCGCAAATATAACTATGAATGAAATCAAGTAAAGAAAGTGAATTCAAGTTTATGAAGCATATTCCCTTAGTTCACTACATCCAAGTAATGGTCTGACAAATATGTTTCTCTATAAGCCTATCTTAACTAGCATAAAACCCCTAAAACTTGCATATAATGTCATACTTTTTATCAATACGTTACTCATTCTTAAGAAACAGATACAAAGCAAGTAATATATATAATACCTTTTCTTTCAAACATGTCCTGATTCATCATTAACACCAATGATTTACTAGATCTATCGTAAAACATCAGGATTCAAAAGACCAAAATGAAAGAAAGAAAAAAGGTGACCCATTCTTAACATCCAGTCACTGCAAATCTGCTTCTCCTTAACCCTTATATAGTACGCTCAAAACAGCTCAAAAAAGAGTTTATATTTCCCTCGCTACCTTATTTCAGTATTTCGCTATAGCTCGCCAGAAGGCTGGACTGGAGAGCGCTGCAGTTGTCCAAAGAGGCCATATACAGTTCGGTCAGCAGAGGGTGCTCGAGATTGCTGCTGGCTGCGGCTGCATCCAGCACTCATCCCGCAAACGCTGCAAAAGCCTCAGGCTACCTTCCAGGGCGACTCGTATTTCAGCAGTAAAACTACTACGACCTTACTTAGCCAATGGAGAGCATTTATCTCATTTGTTTGAAATGCTCAGTGCTAACTATTCCAAGCGAACACTGAGGATATTAAGAAACTGGCCTCCATATAGGGGCTGTGCTGTATTGGTAACATGCCCTCCTCTATTAGGAGCTATCAATTAGAAATGTTTTTTTCAGGATCATCCCTCAATTTAGAATAATTACCTCAATAATCTTAGCTATCTAGTGATGTCGCAGATTCAACATCCAAAACCCTTCATATAATGAAACTAAGCCATCCATTTTTCAACTTAAAACAACTGAATGGGTTTCAAACTTACAGATATAGGTGCACAAGATTTC